ATCAACACATCATCAACTTGACAAATAGTAATGTCACCAGTCTAGTCTTCGATGACGTTGCAGCTGCTGTTCTACAAGAAGAAAATCGGCGCAAGAACAAGGAAGACAAACAAGTAAATCTGCAATAAGCAGAAGCATTGACAACGATGACAACGATGAGAGGGAGATCAACAGAATGTGGCCATAGCAGCAGTCACAAATATGGTAGATCGAAGTCGAGGAGCAAGAAGAATTTAAAGTGTTACAATTGTGGAAAGAAGGGTCACTTGAAGAAGGATTGTTGGAGTCTAAATAAAAACTCCAATCCACAAGGCAATACCGCAAACACTTCAGATGATGGAGATGCTCTATGCTGTGAAGCGTCAACCACCACGGAAGGAATAAAACGATTTGCGGATATATGGCTCATTGATTTGGGAGCAACATATCACATGACCTCAAGAAGAGAATGGTTTCATCATTATGAACCTGTCTTAGGAGGATCTGTGTATAGTTGCAATGATCATGCCTTAAAGATCGTTGGCGTGGGAACCATCAAATTGAATATGTATGATGGAACAATTAAAGTTGTTCGAGATGTGCGGCACGTGAAAGGCCTAAAGAAAAATTATTATCCTACGGATTGTTGGATAATAATGCAAGCAAGATTGAAACACGGAAAAGAATCATGAAGGTGTTCCATGGAGCACTTGTGGTGTTGAAAAGAGAAAAGATAGCAGCAAACTTGTACATGCTGAATGGAGAGACTTTGCTAGAAGCAGAAGCCTATGTTGCCTCATGTAGTTCAGATTCTGCAATGCTATGGCATCAGAAACTTGGACACATGTCAGAACAAGGAATGAAAGTCCTTGTGGAGCAAAAGCTACTTCCAGGCTTAACGAATGTATCACTTACTTTGTGTGAGCATTGCATAACAAGTAAGCAACACCGGTTGAAATTCAACACATCAAATTATAGAGGATAAAGTGTTCTAGAATTAGTTCACTCTGACGTATGGCAAGCAACAATTACATCCCTAGGCGGAGCAAAATACTTTGTCTCATTTATTGATGACTACTCTAGGAGATGTTGGGTGTACCCTATTAATAAGAAGTCAGATGTGTTTTCAACTTTCAAAAGCGCGGGTGGAACTTGATTCTGGAAATAAGATCAAGTGTCTCAGAACAGATAATGGAGGAGAATACACAAGCGAAGAATTTGATGACTTTTGCAGGAAAGAAGTCATCAAAAGATAGTTCACAGTGGCAAACACTCCTCAACAAAATGGAGGCAGCGGATGAACAGAACCTTGTTAGAAAGAACAAGAGCAATGTTGAGGGATGCAGGCCTAGAAAAAATTCTGGGCAGAAGCAGTCAATACCGCCTATTTTGGTGAATCGAGCTCCATCAACTAATAGAGCTGAAGACACCAATGGAGATGTGGACTGGTAAACCAGCTGATTATTCAAACCTCCATGTATTGGAAGTATTGTGTACGTGATGTACAACTCCCAAGAAATTTCAAAGTTAGATCCAAAATCCAGGAAATGCAAATTCTTGGGGTATGCTGATGGAGTAAAGGGGTATCGCTTGTGGGATCCTACTGCCCGCAAAGTGATCATCAGCAGAGATGTTATCTTTATAGAAGATAAACTACAAAGAAAAGAAGACGATGATAGCGCTGAAAAGTCAGAGACTACTCAGATACATGTGGAAAAAGAGTTTGAACAAAGAGATTCTTCTGAAGCAGAACCAGCACATGATGAACAAGAACCAGAGAGTTCTGAAGCTCCAACAACTCATCAATCAGATCGTGTGAGAAGACGTCCCAATTGGCACTCAGATTATGTTATAGAAGGAAATGTTGCATATTCCTTTTAACAGAGGAGGTGAGCCATCAACATACCAGGAGGCAATAAACAGCTCAGATGCTTCACTGTGGATGATGGCTATGCAAGAAGAAATCGAAGCCCTTCATAAAAATAATACATGGGACCTTGTGCCACTACCACAAGGAATGAAGCCAATTGGTAACAAATGGGTCTTCAAAATCAAGCGAAATGGTGACGATCTGAGAATCGTGCAAGACTGGTGGTCAAAGGATATGCTCAAAAAGAAGGTATTGATTTCAATGAAATATTTTCTCCTGTGTTTCGACTAACAACAGTTCGAGTAGTTTTGGCAATGTGTGCTACATTGAACTTACATCTAGAGCAGCTAGATGTTAAAACAGCTTTTCTTCATGGAAATCTTGAAGAATAGATTTACATGCTCCAGACTGAAGGTTTTGAAGAAAAAGAAAAGAAGAACGTTTGCAGGTTGAACAAATCTATGTACGGTCTAAAGCAGGCACCGAGGTATTGGTATAAGAGATTTGATTCCTTCATTATGTGTCTTGGATACAACAGACTTAACGCAGACCCTTGTGCTTATTTCAAGAGGTCTGGTGATAACGATTTTGTTATATTGTTGTATGTAGATGACATGTTGGTTGCAGGACCCAAAAAATCATATTAAAGAATTGAAGGCACAATGGCTAGGGAATTTGAAATGAAGGACTCGGGATCAGCAAACAAGATTCTAGGGATGCAAATTCACTGAGACAGAAGTAATAGGAAGATTTGGCTTTCACAAAAGAATTACTTGAAGAAGATCTTGTCAAGATTCAACATGCAAGATGTAAGCCAATTTCTACCCCTCTTCTATTAACTTCAAATTATCCTCCATGAGTCCTAGCAGTGAAGAAGAGAGGATGGAGATGTCTCGAGTACCGTATGCATCAGCAGTGGGAAGTTTAATGTTCGCTATGATATGCACAAGACCAGACATTGCACAAGTAGTGGGAGTGGTTAGTCGGTACATGGCGAATCCAGGCAAATAGCATTGGAATATTGTGAAGAGGATCTTGAGATATATCAAAGGGACCTCAAATGTTGCATTTACGGAGGATCAAACTTATTAATCAATGGGTATGTAGATTCGACTATGCAGGGGATTTGGATAAAAGCAAATCTACTACAGGATATGTGTTCAAAGTTGCTGGTGGAGCTGTAAGCTAGGTTTCAAAATTGCAGTCAGTTGTGGCTACGTCCACAACAGAGGCAGAATATGTAGCAGCTACACAAGCCAGTAAAGAATTAATTTGGTTGAAGATGCTATTGGAGGAGCTTGGGCGCAATCAAGAGTATGTCTCTCTGTTTTGCGACAGTCAAAGCACCTTGCATCTAGCAAGGAATCCAGCATTTCATTCAAGGACAAAGCACATACGAGTTCAGTATCATTTCATTCGTGAAAAGGTGGAAGAAGGGACGGTAGATATGCAGAAGATCCATACCAAAGACAACAACAGATTCATGACGAAGGCGATCATACTGATAAATTTACTTGGTGTCGATCCTCTTGTGGCCTTTCAGAGACGTAAGCAACATGATGGTACATGGTAGAAAGAATGGTGTGAAGATATGATTGTTCCAATCAAATCTTCAAGTGTGAGATTGTTGAAAATCAATGCACCGAAAGTGCATGGTTTGAAAAAAAAAATATTTTGTCAACAATTGTAGGCACCGAAAATTAGGTGTAGAAATTGTTGATTTTTTATATGGGCAAATTACAAACTCTAGTCACTAAAATTTAGGGTATTTACAAATTAGTCCTTAAGCTTCAACTATAAATACCCTAGCTCATTTAGCTTCAAAACCATCTCAAAGCATTCTAGCTTTCTTCCAATACTAGAGAGAATTTAGAGAGTTTCTTGAGAGTTGTTTTCTCCTTTTTATCAATAGAGAATTATCATTGTTTTCTCCTTGGTAGATCGAGAGAAGTTGTAATTCCTATTTTCTCATAGTAAATTCTTCTACCGTTGCCCGTGTTTTACCCTATATTATTTAGGGGTTTTCCACGTAAATTTTGTGTCTCTTTTATCTTTATTTTTATTTTCTCAAATTATCAGTTGCGATTTTGCTCTATCCGATAGCCTTCTTCCGCAACAATTATTTCATTTACCATCAAAAACAAAGTCAGATGATATCCACCTCCAATACAGAAATCAAAAGAGACTATGGGATCCTATCGCGCTAACAACATAAAAACAATAAAACACACATACACAATCTTCCCTTAATCAAGATGTTAGATGAAGGTATGAGATAAAGAATGTTACCAGAAACTCAAACCTGTTGCGATGCAATGCTTAAGGTAAAACAAGAGTTGGGCAATAATAGTTGAATCGAAGGCTTGAAGCTACTGAGGAAATCAAATAACACATTACCAGAAGAAAAAGAATATGATGTAGCTCATCATAAGCAAAGATATTCACCATACAGAAAGAAAATGTTCATGCAAGTCTGGGAAAAGAATCATAATCTTGACTGAATCATCTTCTTCAAATATTTCAAATGTGATGATATCTTGTTTAATTGTTTACACAGAAAAGAACAGGCCGTTTCAAACATGTGTCAACTGAATGTTTTTTACCAAGTGATAGGTTCATAAGAATGCATTTCCAATGAATATCTACTGTTAACTTTCCCTATGGCACTAATACTTTCCCTTGCATGTTAGACTTTAATTCACAACAGAAATCCCATAGATCTTTCATATCTTGATGGCTCTAACCGACCCCAAGAATCCTTTTAAGTACAAATTTACTTTCCAATAAGGAAATAGAACAGAAATGAACTGAAGAAATTACATAAATAAAATGTAGACACCTCTCCCGCTTAGAACTCATACATGAGTTTCAACTCGATTGCTCTTGATTCCATAATGTTCTGCTTTTAAGATTTTCAAGTTCAGAACAACGATGTCTTATCCTATGAAAGTAATAAACGAATTGTTGAAATAGGTGATGAGTTACTGGAAATAAGATCATCAATGAATAAAAATTTTAGCACCCTTAATTTTGAACTGTATCAATGAACAGAGCTAGGAAAATCAAACCAATCACATTTCCATCAAGATTACAGAAAAACACAAAGAAAAACAAAAAATATATATTATCATGCTATATAAGCAATGAAGTATATCCCGCAATGATCGAGGTATACAAGCATCCCGCAATATTGTAGTCAGTACAAAACAGATCAATAAAACCCTAGCAATACCAATTATCCAGCCAAACAACAAAAAGAACCCTAAAGAGACACAAAGTGAGGAACAAGAATGCTCAAACTCAATCCTCGCCCTTGACAACCGAAGAATTCTCCTCACCGACAGCAGTTGCCACGTTATTCGAGTCTACCTCCGCCGGAATTGAGGGAGGAGAGTCACTGGCAGTGGCAGCTCGAGTTTTGACAATATCGAGCATCCGCTTGCTGATTTCCTTGGAATACACCTGGAGAATCTCGATGCCGTCCTCTTCGGTGGAGAATGATGCCTCTGCAACCGAGAAAGCCTCCTCCTCGATCAACTTGGCCAGGATTGGAGCCTTCTCCTGAGGGATCGCCCCATAGCGTTTGGAAAGGATGGATTCGGACGACAGCGTCTCCACGAGACGTTTGTGGACGGCGTCACGAGTTTGTTGGGAGGGTGGCCAAATTTTAAATGTGAGGTTATTGAGCTTGGCCGCGGTGTCGTCTACTTGGGTCTGGTGCGACTCCATAGTTGCTACGGCAGAGTCGTTAGCAGTAGGGGATTCAGGATCAGCCATTTCCTTGGGTTTGAGACTTTGGGTGTCGAGTGACGAATCGGTTTCTTACAGAAATATTTAGTTAGGAGATTTAAAAGAAACAGTATTGAGTGTGGGCTCTGAAATGAAAAGGACACACCAACTTCACTTGAATCTGCATCTGCTCTAAATGCAATAGCCTTCTCCTTCATTGTTTAGTTGATTGTGATTTTGTTAAGAGATCAATTTTTATCGCACAAGGTTGCTTTCCTCTTTGGTTCTCGTTTAAGGCAGGCAATGAACAACTTTTCTTTTTCCCCCCGAAGAAGCAATCCTTATAAAAACCCACCTCTGCTACCAACTTAACTTACCTCGCAACAAACCCATTATATCCATCCGTCAGAGCAGCACTCTAGCCGGTTGCCACGTTTCCTATGTTCTATTTTTCATTCAACAATCTTTCCTCTTCATTAGGGAAAAAGCACTAGCCGTTGCAATTTTCTTGTTAATCAAAACATGAAGCTAATTTTTTTTTGGATAAGTACTACATGAAGCTAAAATTACAAGTTGACATGTTTTGTATTTTTATATGGGTAAATTACACCGGATATCACCGAACTTTAAACATTTTATCTTTTATCACTGAACTTTTAATTTTTTTCAATTATAACATTAAACTTTGATTTTGTTTCAATTATGCGAATGAATCGTTAAATCGTTAACAACACGATGACATGGTTGAAGGTTGCTGACGTGGCTGATGGCTTTCAATGCAGACACATCATCAAAACGACGTCGTTTTGGTCCGACTGTTAACGATTTAACAACCCAGTGGTATAATTGAAACGAAAATAAAAGTTTAGTACTATAATTGATAAAAATAAAAGTTCAGCGTTGTAAACAGTATAACGCCTAAAGTTCGGTGGTATCTTGTGTAGTTTACCCTTTCTATATTTAGTTTTTATAACATAAGATTTGTAGAGATAATTTTTTCAAAACATCTTGGTCCTCTATTATTTCGCGTCCAACTTTCGATTAATTATTGACATGAAAATTATAAAAACTTATTATTTTATTTTTATATTTTTTTATCAAATTAATTATTACTTCTCCCCTCAATGAATTTAAAATCGTAAAAAAATCGAGAAAAAAAATATAATGGGTTTGCCCAACGTATTGCCAATTCTCCATGAATAAGAAGTTGATAGAATCACTTTACAAATGCCATTGAACCAAGTTTTTGACAACATATTTGAATTCAGATGAGGATTACTTTATTGTAAGCTGGAGATTATGAAATGGAGTTAACTAGCTCTGGGCCTAATAAGTTTCTCTGTGTAAATTAATAGATAAACTGCCTATAAAACCAACCCCTCAAACTTAAAGCATCTCATGTCATCTTCTTAATTACTTGCATCTGTAGGGGAACATATTAAGAAATGGTTGTTTTCAAGATGATCATGTATTAAGCTACCATCTTGGCATTGCTCACATAATATAAACTATTTAAATATAATATTTACTACTAACATACTTTCTTCTGCATTGTTACTCTATTCTCAAACCAGGTCTTACATGTATTGAGTTGGATAAACCACGGATATGGTAGTGTCTCAGATTGCGTTGAGGAGGTTGAGCATGCCTGAGCGGGGACTGCACACAGCTACCAAGGGCTCCGCTTTGGGCATGGTGAGGCCCGGGCCTTCCCTCATATCGATTTCCCCTTCGGCAACCCTGTTCCACTCGAATGACTGAATCAAGGAACCAAGTACCAAACCAACCACTTTCCTACCCAGAACAGCTCCGGGGCAAGCCCGCCTTCCCAACCGAAGGGAAGTAGTTTACACCCTTCACCTGCTTCCACACTTTCAAATCTCTCCGGCATAAATCTTGTGGCCTCCTCCCATAGCTTGGGGTCCCTTTGGATACTCCATGAATTTACCAATAACATTGTTCCACGTGGCACGTTATAACCACAAACGACGCAGTCTTCTGACGATTCATGTGGTACGAGAAATGGGGCTGGCGGAAATAATCTCAAAGTTTCAGAGATTGTGGACTGCAGATAATTCAGTTTTGACAAGTCTGTTTCATCCAAAAATTTGTTTCTCCGACTTCATCAGCTATTTCAGACCAAGCTTTAGACATGACTTCGGAATGGTTAAGAAGAAGTGACATGGCCCATTCTATCGTAGTCGATGATGTTTCAGTTCCAGCAATTAGCATTACCTGCAAACAATTTTAAATGATCTGATGTTTAGAAACTACAAAGAATAATTTACATTTTAGATCATTGAATTTAACTTTAATATTCATTCAAATCACAAATTTTTTATTTAGTAAAACTATATCATTTAACTTTTATAGTTAGTAAAATATGTTATTTATACTAACACCCTTAAATAATATTTTTTTTTAAAAATGAAGTTGACACTTTTACTAATTATATTTTATATATATCATCATTATATAGTGTTTAATCGATAATTTAAATAATTTTTGGTTTGAATTTCACACAAAAATAACTAATTTTTTATAAGTTATAAGAAAAAATATTTAGATTACTAATTAAACATTATTGATAATGATACGTACAAATTATAGTATATAAAAGTGTCAATTCATTTTTCCATTAAAATCATTTAAAAGTGTTAGTATTACTAATGACTTAATCTATTTGATAATAAAAATTGAATAATATAATATAAAGATCTAAATAAAATTTGAAATTGTTTTTAATGATCTAAAATATAAATTACTGACTTGATAGGCAAAGTATATGTGGATATAAGATATGCTCTTTTAAAAATGAAAAAATCCTATGAAGTTGGATAGAAACCCACTTTCTCTGTATCACTGTATGGTTTGAAAATAACATCTAAGGTTTCTTAAGTAGTTTAATTTTAATTAAAAAATATGAATTTATTTTTATTTATTTTTATTAAAATAATAAAAAATATTTTTTTAAAAATTAGTTGACCACCATTATACTAAATTATAAATTGGATTTATTTTAATATAAATATATCTTAAACATAATATATTTTTCAGATTACTGACTTGATTATTGACTTTAAAGCATTGACACCTAGGCCATGAGAGTTTTGAGCCACATATTGACCGGCAAGAGAAGAAAATATCAGCACACGAAAAATCATTGATCTTAGCTTACCAAGATGACTCCTTTTATGGTTTCATCGGTATAGATTTCAGGGTCAGTTTGTTGCAGGGATAACATGACATCGATCAAAGTTGTTTTCGTCCCTGTGCTGCTTGCATCAGATGATCCCAAACACTGATCTGTTGAATCTTTCCTCATCATTCTATGCTCTTCAACAAGGGACTGTAAGAATTTGTCCACTTTCTTGAAAATCTTTTTCATCTTCCTCTCCAGACCTTGAAAATCAACCCACTGTAGCACTGGCAAAAAGTCATTCAAAACCGTGCTCCCGCTCATCTCCGCAACCTCTCTCATGATGTCTCGAAACTCCTCTGCTTCTGTATCCACCGCATCTTTCCCGTAATACCGCTTCCCGGCAATCATCCTCAAAATCATATTGAACACGACCTCTATGAGCTTTGATGTAAGTTCCACCGTTGCTGATTTCTTGGCCGAGGCCAAGAATAGTTCCTTTAACAATAACTGAACTTCCTCTTGCCGGATGCTAGCAGACATGGCGAGTCGGCTAGTGGAGAAGAACTCCATGGTAGTGAGACGCCTAAGGTTACGCCAATAATCACCGTAGGGTGCGAATCCAATCGTGTTATAGTTATAACCTATGTGTTTTCCAGCAAGCAGCCGAGGGCGATTCGCAAAGATGATATCATTTTTCGTGAAGCACTCTTCGGCTGCTGATGCAGAGGAAACTATAAGGACTTTACGATTTCCGAAATCAAGGAGCAGAACGGGGCCATATTTCTGTGAAAGTTGATGAAGAGTTCGATGAACTGGTTGTTTTAGAAGATGGAGATGGCCTATGATTGGCAAAGCAGGAGGGCTAGGTGGCAGATTCCTTCGAGTTTTACGTTTCTGTAAGATGAATTTGAAAACTAACGCAAAAACGAAAATGGAGATGCGGTGTATAGCGTTGAACAAATCCATATTGGTAAATGCCGCTCATCGCAATGGACAAGTATCTCATTTTATTGTAGGGCAATAAAAGTTAGGGTAAACTATGCACTTAATACCTAAATTATCAGTTTTTTTCTATTTTAATATCTAAACTTTAATTTTTTTCAGAACAATACTTAATGTTTTGTTCTGATTTCATTTTAGTACCTCATCGTTAAAAGCTTAACGAAAGGACCGACGTGGAATTAGTTTACTGTTTTTGATTTTCCACACATGCTTTTACGATCCACATCATCATTTCTCATGAAAATATGAAATATTAAAATATTATTTAAGGAATAAAACCCTAAAATTAAAGTGAGTTTTTTGAAAATTGTAAAAAAGTTTTGGTTATGAGGTTTTTGAATCCTTCAATGAATACATCGGTTTACATTCCAAGTTTTTGAAAACCCTAGCCTTCTTTCCTCGCGTAATTATGCTTTCATATGAATACATCGGTTTACATTCCAAGTAATCATGCTTTCATATGAAGTTTAAACTGATAAATTATATGAAATCATGATTATTTTGAGGTTTAAATTTATGTTTACTTGTAAGATTAAATTTAGTAATGAAGTTTTAATCTCCAATTATTTGCAATTTAATTAATGTTGTTATATCAACACATGTACAAAAAGTTTTTTTTATTAATATGGATAAGTATAAGGTAGTACGTGTTTAAAAATAATTTTTAACTATTTGACATTAAACGTTCATACTCCTAACATTCTTGATGCTCGAACTAGAGACCTCAAAAAATAATAAAAATTCATTTGCTAACGAAGTCACTTAGTTCATGTAGACCTTTACGAAAAATTAGAAAAATGATTGATTATAAATTTGAATAGTTCATAAGTTTGAATTTAACATATTTATATGAATAAACTTTCAAATATAATAGAAAGTGTTATATTTAAAGTTAAAAGGGAAGGGAAGGAAATAAAATAACAAAAGAGGAAATGGGAAGATAATTTTAGGATTCGTT